TTTTGGTACCGGGGATTGAACTCGGGTCCTTGAGCTTGCGAGGCAGGCCACTGAACCGCTGAGCTAAATCCCCAGCCAACCCCTATTTTTTTTTAAGTGTCACTGGTCCGTGATAGCCAGTAGTCTGGGAAATGCTGTGTGAAATGAAGAAACGTATGAAAAATACTAAATCCAGTGTCCAAAGCAGAGAGGATGGTACACATGTGAGTGGCAGCGTGGCAGCTCTGGGAAAGTCAGGCTGACGGTGATGATCATGGTGATCATGGTGGTGATGCTCATAGCGCTGGCCAGGACACCTGTTTCATCTCCGGTACAAAAGAAAAATGAGAAAAATGACCACCCAGAGGTCACTGGGGCAACTAAGTCCTGGCCTCAGTCCCCTCTACACTGGAAAGTGCCAACCACCTATATCTGGCTGTTGGAAACCCCTCCCACTGACACTGTTGGCAGCTGAGCACACCTTATACCAGCTCGCCTGCCCCAGGCTCTGTAGCTCTTTGGGTGACAAGTGTCCCAGGAACCAGCTACCAAAGGGCTGGCTCGGAATCGTGCATGCAGAACGTGACCTAACACAGAAAACTCTGCCCTCCCTCCACCAAGCCGTGCCGGAGCTGCCTGTAATATTAAGGAAGGACCGATACACAGCATTTGGGAAAATGTGTGAATTTCCCTGCCTCTGTCACCTCCATCCATTTCAATTAATATTACAGCCCAGTCCTGTGCCCGGCCATAATCCAGATGCTCCCACCCTTCTGTCATGTTTGTCACAGGCAGGGAAGAGCACCGCCCTCTGAGAGTCAGGCAGGGAAAGACCAGCAGCCTCCAAGTGAGTCAACACAGCCCTAGGCAGCCTGGCCACAGCAGGGTCAAAGACTCAGACACAGCACCTCCTGTCCTGGGGAAGCCCAGGCTGTGGAAAGCCCCATATCCTGTGGGAAGGACCCACTACGAATAAACCATTCTGTGATCCCGTGACAGAGCCTGTGGGTCAAGAGCTCTCTGGTGCTCTCTATTCCAGGAAAGGTGTCCTTGTGACCCCTGACCTTGAACGCATCTGACCTCTGCACCCTGCTGCTGCCTGCCTTGCTCACCGGCTGTCTTTGTCTGTCCCCTAGGTACATGATCACAAGCCTGGACCGCACCCACGCGGGCTTCTACCGCTGTGTTGTACGGAACCGGATGGGGGCCCTGCTGCAGCGGCAGACAGAAGTCCAGGTGGCTTGTAAGTATGACAGGGACCTGGGGCCAGGAGAGGATCCTCACGGCCCACACCCAGCAATCACACTCTGGGCAGAGCCAAATGCATGCCTTGAGCTAGTGGTGGCCCTCCCCACCTGTCCAGGCTAGTCCCTACGTCCTATGCTGGTAAGAGCCAGTTCCCGGGGACAGGATAGGAGCCCTTAAGGTCACACAGCTGATCCGTGGCTTATGCATCTGCTGGCTCTATGACCACTCTTGGTTCCAGAATGCGGGTGACCTCTTCTGTGCTCTTCAAATAGGAGCATCCCGTTGGTTTCTTGAAAGTGGACTTCAGCATTGACTTTGAGGGCTTCCTCCAAGGCCACTTCGTACACGAGGGGGCTCTTTAGAATGGGCAACTTGAACCTTACCAGCTATGCAACTCTTGCTGTCAGACTTCCCAGAGCTCCGAATACCTTGGTTTTTCTGTCCTCTGGCTCACTCAGCCCTGGAGCTACATGGGGGCCCAGTGATCTTCAGTGGGTGTTAGGTGGAGTCTCAAGTGGGGAGACCAGAGCTCAGAAGGAAAGGGAAATCATGAGTTGGGACTCCCAGAAGGGCCGCATGGGCAGGAGGGTAAAGTGGCAGGCCCTCTGCAGGCTTTGTAAGTACAGCCTGCTCCCCAGTACTACCAATCCCAGAAAGGCTTCCTCAGCTATGGAGAGAGGATGGTGTCAAAAGAACCCCCAGGACCAGGGCCTCGCCCCAAAACTCAGCATCCCCTACTCAGACCTGTCCCTTCCTCAGCTTTCTGCTGTCTGCTGGAAAAGGGACATTTTCTAGGCTATTTTGTTCTGAATCTTTTAGCAGAGGAGGTCCAGCTTCATAGTTTAGGATATGGGGATGTGGGAATCCTTAATGAGTCCTAAAAGTTCACAGAAAAGGACACCCCCACATCTACAGCCCACGGGGCAGACTCCGAACTAATGCAGGCCAAACCTGTCACTCAGAGAGAAGCAGTGGAGAGAGATCTGAGAGCAGATCTCAGGCAAAGTGTTTATAGTAATTATGGAAAACAGCCGTAATCAAAGTGGAGGATGCTTGTCCTGTAAATCAGCAGCAAAGGCAATCCAGCTCATGCTCACAGCAGCAAGCCTGGGCACCCAGCACTGGGATGTGGGCAGCTGTCAGTGCCAGAGGGCATCCACGGAGCTTCACTTAGCCCATTTGAGGGTCCAGTGTGCAGTACAAGGTATGGCTGGACCTTGGCAGAGACTTCATGTGTGTGTGTGTGTGTGTGTGTGTGTGTGTGTGTGCATACATCAGCATGTGCAAACGTGCTTGTGAGAGTCACTCTGCCTTCTCCCCATGTGTGCATGGAGGAGTATGTATGTGTGTGCACAAGGTGTGTGTTTCTGAGTCAGGCTGCCTTTCCACTCACCTGTGCATTTAAGAAAATGCATTTGTGTGCAAGTGTGTACCCATGCGTTGCGTGTATCTGCATAGGCACATACCCATATATATGTAGTATGTGCTCCCAACTGTGTGCTTGCTGTGTGTGTATAGATTCACATGGTCTGGTGGGTCCGCTCCTTACCTAAGTATCGGAGAGAATGATATGGGGTAGGGCACATGAGCGTATGTGCTCGTGTATACAATTGGGAGTACCATCTGGGACACCACTGAATCCAGGCTGTGGCAGGTGAAGGACAGGAAGTCCGCTCCAAGCTCTAGGTTCACGGAGACAATAGAAACTTCCCAGAGGTTGAGAGCTCCTGAGATGCAGTGACACTGCCTCCTGGGTTCGCAGTGCTGATGAAAAGGGGAAAGGAAGGGAGGTCATCATCCACATGGCTGAGATACTCTGTGCTTTGGCCATGATGGGGACCCAAGAGCCCCAGACTCAGGCCCTAGCCCACAGCATATACGCAGTCTTGCTCATATACTGGCAAACCCAGCATGGAACACAGCATGGGCGTTCTCCCCTGGAAACTAGGCTAGATGGACACATGGTCCCTGCCTCAGACCCACAAGGATCCTCCTACCCTAGAGCTGCATGATAGGCATGGCCACCCCACGTGTACCTATGGAGGGCAGATCTTTTTTTTTTTCTTTTTTGGTACCGGGGGTTGAACTTGGGTCCTTGCACTTGCAAGGCAGGCCACCGAACCGCTGAGCTAAATCCCTGGCCCATGAAGATCTTTGATAAGGACGGGCTGTGCCTGGGATTTCCCAGATGCTGCAGAGAAGGGCTCAGATGGCTTGTGCCCTGCCCCTGGGGACTCATAGCCTGAGAAGCAGGTAGAAGAGGACTTGTGCACCCAGGCACCATGACCTTCTGCCTAGCACACACACCCTGAGCTTTTTTTGTCTCCCACGCCACAGCCCCAAAGGTCCTAGACCACTCTGGATGATGCTGGCAGCAGTGGCCCCAGGTTCAATGACACGTGGAAGCCTGGCCCCAGCTCTTGTGGGGCCCCCAAGACCCTGCAGTTGCTGAGATCCAAGATGCAGGTGAAAGACTTGGCAGTGCTGGCAGTGTGGCCCTAATGAAAAGGTGGGCTTTGGAGCACTGGCTTTGTCCTTGATCCCTGGGGAAGCAACTGACCCTCTGAGCCTTACCCAGCTCAGGTCCCTCATTTGTAAAATGTATTTATTTAATAATTCCTAGTTCCTACACTCACCCAGAAGATTCCTGGAGTTCATAAACACCAAAGCAGCTAGCCGGTGCCTATATGTCACACACCCTGAGTCAGTGGCAGTTACTGCTGCAGTTAATATTCAATGTTCTCGTTTTAAGGAGGGGGAAAAAGGCAGGCCACAGAAAGCAATGACTTCCCACACACTGTCCTGGCCAAATGCTCAGCATGGAGCCAGCATCCTCTCCTAGCTCTCTGTCAACTCGCACAGTGGGGTTCCCGCCCTCCTCCTTCTGCCTTCTCAAAGCCCCAGGTCACCCCTGAGCTCCAGTCACTTCCTGGATGTGGCTGTAGCCCCAGTTCTCACCATGTCCCCCACTGACTTCCCCTGTGCTGCTGGTACTGCTGAGCTGCACAAATGTGATCACAGTCCCATGGCCAAGAGAGGGGGACACCCTGAAGAGCTGCAGGGGAAAGGGAGGACTCACGTTAGCTGATCTGTGGCCACCAGCTGCTGGTCCCCAGACCACACCGGGGCCCTGGTACCGAGCATGGCTTGGCAGATCTGGAAGCAGTTTCCTCCTCACTGTCCTAAAGCAGACCTAGGGGAGCCCTAGAAGGTCCTATCTGGCCCTTGACAAAAATGTTCATCCCAACAAGTGAAGGATGGTCTCTCATGGCTCCGCTAGCTACGGTGGGGTGAGGAATGAAGTGCTCCCTTAGATCCCTCCTTTCTGGTGCATCTGCCTTGTCCCCTGTGGGCTTTCACTCTAGATGTAGAAGGTGAAGAATCCCCTGGCCCAGGGATTCTGGGTACAGGGAAAGAGGAGACCTAGCCAGACTGGCCTCACCCATTACAGCGCTATGCTGGGCAGCACACACCATTGTCTCTGGTGTTCATCCAGCCAGCAAACTGAAGTCCCCATCCCCGTGTTACACATGAGGAAACTGAGGCTCTGCTGGGTAACATAACATGCCTGAGTCATACAATGAGGGAGTTCCAGAGCCAGGATTCAAACCCATGGCTCCCTGATTCCAAGACAGACCCCACTTTGCTGCTTGGAAACAAGAAGAAGAAAAATCAAGAAGAGTGCATAAGTGGGTGGTGGAGGCCTGCTCGGGTCAAGTTCAAATGGAATCATTTGACACCTGGGGCTATAATATTCCAAATAGCTCTGTAAAAAGAGTGTGACTCCTCCTGGGATAAATGTTGGCTAGAGACAGCTGGGGTTGGGGGTCTACAGATTATGTGATTTGCACGTAGCTTGTGGGCTTCGTTGCATGCCAGGACACTATCCTCATGCCTTCAGTAATGGCCATGCTTGTAGGTAGAGTCAGAAAGCATACATTCTAGCCCCAGTGAAGGACCTAAGAAGCTTAGGACTCTCAGTTCATCCCTTCTTCTCTAAGCCTCAATTTCCTGGTCTGAAAGACGAGATCCATTTCAGCTCTGATGTTAAAGCTAAACAGCTCTCGGGGTCAGGACCATAGGGCCCAGCCTGGAGGAAAGCATGATTCAACAAGGAACCCAGAGCCCGCCCTCTTCGGGATCCTCCAGAACACTCCTCCCTCCAGTGTTAAAAGGCAAAGGTCTTTCAGCGGTGTGTTCCCAGCACAGGTCTGAAAGGTTGGAATGCAAGTCCTACGAGCCACATGTCAACATGAGGAAACTGAGACTCAGAGAGGACAGCACAAGGTCCCGTAGCCAACATCTCTGCCTTCTCCTGTCTGATAGGGTATAGCCATGAGCCTACCCTTGAGCCCTCGTCCAATGCCAGCCAGCTCATATCTTGCAAGCTTTGTGACGTTAGGCGAGTTCCTTAATTTCTCCATAACTTCATGTTCTCGTGTATAAAAGGAAATGCTACCATGAGCCCGTGCTTGGCTGAGCAATCACGGGGATTGATAAATCAATGCGCACAAACCATTGCAAATGGTTCCAGGCCCGGATGACACCAGGGGAGAGCAGACTTCCGCTTCTGCACGGTATCAGTCAGGAAAAGCAACCTGGAGTAAACCTTAACAACCTTTCGTTCTCTCTACCCAAGAAGGGCCATTCCCGCTTTCCCTTCTGCTCTGCCGGGCTGGGACCAGGGAACACAGACGGAGCGGAAGTTACCCCAATCTGAGGAGCTCTCTCATTCAGTCCTTACCCTGAGCTTGCATGACCTGTGAGTGGGATCCTCACTCACCCAGCTCTCCTGGGCTTCCATCTGTCTGCCTGATCATCTGTCTTCTTAAGGGTGAGGAGGGTATAGTTTCTTCTCTCAAAGCCTCCTCTCTCTGGCTCATTCCTCCTCCCTTGGGAAGGTTTTGCCCCTGGACTCCAAGCAGCCTTTTCTCTTGTACCTCTTTCCAGGGATCATGGACCCAGGCAGGCTCCACCCTTGGCTCCCAGCCCTTC